TGAGGGAACAGCCACCAAGGACCAGGAGGGCCAACTAGGAATCTAGCAAAGAAACGCACTGCTGGTCAGCTAAGTGAGCAGGCCTCAATCCCCAGGGGTCTGGCCATAACTAGCAGATGAATTTCCCAAGTTCGCTGCTCCCGAATAGGGGGGCTTCACTTTTGCCCACCTCTCCCAAATGGATGATCACACACCGTTGGATGATAAATGACCTCCTTTATCGTGTGCTGGGCATCTCTGACTATAGGAACTCCATTTATGACCACTGCCTCCCAGTGGGCCCAGCATCATGGAATCTGCCGGCTATTCCACACTCCTCACCATCTGTAGCCATGGGGCTAAGTGAGCACGGAAATGGCCAGCTTAAGAGTCAAACGCAGCCACTGTCACACTTGCCCCGTAAGGAGAGAGAGCAGAGAGGAGGTGGTGTCCCTCTGCTGCAGCACAGGCCCACAGGCATCCAGCTGAACCCAGGCCAAGTTCACTCCCCCCAAGTTTGGAGAGTGGGGAAATGGCACACCTCTTCACCACCTGCCCGAGGGCATCCACACCTAGTGGCACTGGCTCCTGTTTGCCCGGAATCCTTGGCTCAGGGCTTCACGAAGCTGTCCTTGAGGGCTCATGAGCCCATCAGTGCTGTGGAAAGGTCGGGGGTCAGGAGCCTGAGCTGGCGTGAGAAGCTCGATGGGGAGAAGGGGCCCTAGAGCCAGACTCCCGGGTTTGAATCCTCCTTGCTCAGCTGTCTACCTGTGTGACTGTGACCATGTCAATGAAACTCTCCTAGATTTTCTTCTCCCATTTGCAAAATGAAGGTAATTATACCTATCTCAAAGAGCTGATGAGACCATCAGATGAGATCATACATCAAAAATACTCAAGATAGGGCTTCCCTGGTGGCGCAGTGGTTGAGAGTCCGCCTGCCGACGCAGGGCACACGGGTTCGTGCCCCGGTCCGGGAGGATCCCACATGCCGCGGAGCGGCTGGGCCCGTGAGCCGTGGCCGCTGGGCCTGCGCGTCTGGAGCCTGTGCTCCGCAACGGGAGAGGCCACAGCAGTGAGAGGCCCGCGTACCGCATAAAACAAAAAACAAACAAAAAAAAAACACTCAAGATAGTGTCTGCCATGTAGTTCTTAATAAAGCTTAGAGAAGAATTTAATTTCCACTGGTGAAATTATGTGACCTAACGAGTCCATAAAGCGCCATTTCATGTGATCTAATAAGAAAGTAAGCTGATAGTTAACAAATTAACATGTGTGGTGTCGGCTCTAACTTGGTGAACAGGAGGGACCTGCCTTGGTTAAACGGCCTATGAGGCTGCAAAGCCAACTTGGGCCAGCTGGGGAGGGGTGTGGACAAGAGTGAGGAAGGGCACTGTCTGTCCACATAGCACTGCAGGGCTGAGATGCTGAGGGTGGTGACTAATTCTGGACCACAAACCAGTGGTGTAGTTTCAAGAGCCCTCCTTGCCCACCCAGCAGCCCAGCACGTGAGCAAACAATGACACACCCAATTTTGCCAGCTTGGACAAGTTAGAGGAAGGAAGTGGTGCTGTGGGGAGGGGTAGAGTTCTAATCCTGACACAGAGACAAGAGAAAGGGATTCAAGTTGCAGGAAGGTAAACGTGTAATCTCCTGTGTACCTGGAGCTTTGCCACCGAGAGGAAATCTAATCCAACAATCCGGAAACTGTACTGTTAAGCCCATCTTGGACTGCTCTGTCAGCCAGCTTCTAGTCTCCTGAGATCACGAGAGGCTCAGCAGGGCGCTGCCAGAACAGGAAGTAACAAGGGCAGCTGATTTCATCAGTGATATGAAACCCATGGTTCCCGTTGAGTAATTACACACAGAACAGACAGAGCCCGCTGGGGGAAGGGAAGAGTTAACGGGAGCGCGTAACTTCACTTTAACTCCACACATCAGCAAAGAGAACACTTTGACTTTCAGTCAAACTCATTTTCCCCTCATGTTTTTCATCACAAACTTGGATGACTCATCCCATTTTACAGATAAGAAAACTGAGGCATGGACTGGAGAGGTAACTTGTTTAAGGGTCAGGTCAGAGATCTATATTTTGTCCATGAGTTGTTGCAAACCTTAAGGGTCCAAAAACATACAATATAATCCTTAAAGTATAAAATTCAAAATAAAGCAAGGAATTCATTTCTTTTTTTTCAATTTTATTTATTTTTAAAATTTTTTATTGAAATATAGTTGATTAACAAAGTTGTGTTAGTTTCAGGTGTACAGCAAAGTGATTCAGTCATGCATATATATACGTATATATGTATATATATATATATATATATATATAACATTCTCTTCCCTTATAGGTTATTATAAGATTTTGAGTATAGTTCCCTATGCTCTACAGTAGGTCCTTCTTGGTTATTTTATATATAGGAATTCATTTCTGACTGTTAGTTCTGACGGTAAAAAGAGGAGTTTGGTAAAAAGTCTGAGTTTTGGCCAGTTCTATAAAATAACACTTTATATGTTATTTCAAAAAAAGCTTTGTTTATGAAATTAAGTAGCCAGCGCAAATTAAAACTTGGACACATTTTGAAACATCACTCTTTTGGAGAGTTGGTAAGAAAGTTGTCACCAAGGAGTTTCATGTGTGGTTCCAGACACATGGGCAGGAAAAAAAAATGAAGACTTTAACCCACAATAAGACCTTGGAGCCTGGGGATGTCTTAAATGTTTCTGCATTCGGTCTGAGAGCACAGCTGGATTTCTATAAAAGCTTATTTTCAGGTTTGAAAGATAATATTGCTCAGGGAGAAGCCTAGTATGATCACCTTCAAATATTCCAGAACATCTGGTGTGGAGCAGGGGTAACCTACACATTTTAGAGTCACATAGATTTCGCCCACCTTTGCTAAAGGACGTTTGAATCTGGGAAGTGGGGAAATCCTGAAAGCAGACTGTGGTCCTTGAACTTACCCTTTTAGATGATCCCAGTAGCAAGGTGATTATGGCCACATATTGAGAGGAATTTGATCTCTGCCCATAGCACAGCTTCCAGAGCAAGTGTAAGAGCTATTTTTTACTTAAACAAACAAACAAAAAAACCCTGAAATGTCTCCACGTCTGCCACCTCTGTTCTGTCCCAGATTCATTCCTCTGCTCCCACAAAAGTTTGAGCCACACTTCACCATGGAAGCTCATGAGAGTGGCATCTCACAAGCTGCCTCCTGCCAAGGGACAGCATTTCTGTCTGACTCCTGCAATTTTAACCGTGGGACCTTTTCTGTCTAGGTGTGTGATTTCTAGAAACGGGCCCTGATCACTCAGCTGATAGCGCACAGGAAGCCTCTCAGGGTTTTCATCAAAACCATCACTTTGGTCTTTGAATAACATGTAAAATTTCCATCTCAAAATAAGCATGGGCTTTAGATCAGTGGGCATAACAGGCAACTGGACCACCCTGGACTGTCCGACGTCACTCATGCTGAGTTAATTAGCTGGGTGTCAAGGGGTGCTCAGTAGGCCTGGACTCATGAGGGTCTGGGTGCCAATCTCTGCTCTGTGTCACTGTGATGTCTGAAGCCCAGGCTTATCATCTACAAGGACCAGATGATCATATCTACTGTGGACTATTCTTGTGAGGATTAGGTTTCACGTATGTAAAATACCAGGACATGGCAAGCATTGTTAAATAGTAATGATAATAATGCTAACTTTCCCTAAAACAATATCTGACAAGGATGTGGAAGGCTGAATAATGGCCAGGCCAAAGATGTCCACATCTTAATCCCCAGAATCTGAGAATGTGTAGAAGGACTTTGCAGATGTGATTAACAGAAGGATCTTGAGATGGGAACACGATCCTGAACTATCCCCGTGGGCCCAGTGTAATCATAAGGGGCCTTTTAACAAGGAGGCAGGGGGAGGTTATGTGAATTACGGAAGCAGAGGTTGGAATGAGGTGAGAAACGGGCCACGGACCAAGGAATGCAGATGACCTCTGGAAGCTGGAAAAGGTAAGGAGAGAAGTCCTCCCTAAGAGCCCTCAGAGCAAACTAGCCCTGCTGACACCTTGACTTTAGCCTATTAGGACCAGTTTTGGGGTTCTGACCTCCAGAATTATCAGAGAATAAATCTGGGTTGCTTTAAGCCCCTGGGCTTCTGGTAATTTGTTGTAATAGCAGGCAAAAACTCACACAAAGACTCTAAAACCGATTTTCTTGGGCAGTTCATAAGCTGGCTCTGGGGGCCAATTTCCAACAAAACAGTCTTTCCCGTTTTTTCAGAACAAGGTTTGACATATTCATGACATACCTATTTCAGTGTGTAGAGTGGGAAGAACAGAGGCCTTAAAGCAGACACTGGAGCGGTTATTCTCAGAGTATCCTATGATTTTGAATTATTAGAGTTCATGCTAAAATGAACATTCTGATTCAGGAGGTTTGGGGTGACTGCATTCCTAACATGTTTCAGATGATGCAACACTGCTGGTCCCCAGATCACACTTTGAGTAGCCAGGCTCTAGAGGACCAATTCGAAGGGGACACACATTTTTAAAAGTTGAAGTATAGTTGATTTACAATAGTATGCTAGTTTCAAGTGTACAGTAAAGTGATTCAGTAACATATTTTTTTTCAGATTTTTTTTGCATGACAGGTTATTACAAGATGTTGAATATACAGTTCCCTGTTCTATACAGTATTTCCTTGTTGCTTACCTATTTTATACCTAGTAGTCTGTATCTGTTAATCCCATACTCCTAATTTATCCCTCCCCCGCCCTTTCCTCTTTGATAACCATAAATTTGTTTTCAATGTCTGTGAGTCTATTCCTGTTTTGTATATAGATTCATTTGTATTACATTTAGATTCCGCATATAGGTGATATCATATAATATTTGTCTTTCTCTGTCTGACTTACTTCACTAAGTATAATATCTGAAGGTCCATCCATGTTGCTGCAAATGGCAATATTTCATTCTTTTTTAGGGCTGAGTAAGATTTCATTACATATATATATATATATATATATATGTGTGTGTGTGTGTGTGTGTGTGTGTGTGTGTGTGTGTGTGTGTGATATGTATATCACATCTTCTAAAGCCAATTGTCTGTTGATGGGCACTTGGGTTGCTTCCATGTCTCGGCTATTATAAGTAGTGATCTGTGGACATTGGGGTGCGTGTATCTTTTCAAATTAGAGTTTTTTTCTTTTCCTGATATATACCCAGGAGTGGAATTGCTGGATCATATGGTAGTTCTATTTTTAGTTTTTTAAGGAACCTCCATACTGTTTTCCATAGTGGCTACACAAATTTACATTTCTACCAACAGTGTGGGAGGCTGAGGGAACACATTTGCTTGGCACACAAAAGGCTCCATTAACGGACCTGCCTTAAACCACCTTGCCAACTCTGTCCAGTACTCTGTAAAACTTGACAAGGCCCACTGAGTGCCCAGAGCTGGTCATGCATCATTCACTTCCACTCCTACCAAGTATATTGTACATATAAACTCAGTTGGATCTGTTCCCAAGTGAGTGTGTCCCAAGGTAATACAAGGTGTACTTACTATTCTAATTATAGGATGAAGTTGATTACCTAAGCTAATGAAATATGAGTTTCTGCAAAGAAAAAAGCATAACTCTTTCTATGAAAATTAAGTTACTAGCTTTGGAAAGAGAGAGTGAATGCATAGCACTATAAAATATGTCAAATCACATGTGGGTAAATGCAAGGGAGAATCATAAAAATGTCTACACTTAGAATGCTTTAAAATGTGGCTTTAAATTTTCACTCCCATTTTAAAGAAACCAAAACTTTCCTGCCAGTACATTACAGATAAGACTTAGACAAGCAAAGCTATAGGGATATGGATCTACTTTTTCTTTTTTTTTAACATCTTTATTGGAGTGTAATTGCTTTACAATGTTGTGCTAGTTTCTGCTGTATAACAAAGTGAATCAGCTATATGTATACATATATCCCCATATCCCATCCTACTTGCGTCTCCCTCCCACCCTCCCTATTCCATCCCTCTAAGTGGTCACAGAGCACCGAGCTGATTTCCCTGTGCTATGTGGCTGCTTCCCACTAGCTATCTATTTTACATTTGGTAGTGTATATATGTCCATGCCACTCTCTCACTTCGTCCCAGCTTACCCTCCCCCCACCCCGTGTCCTCACGTCTACTCTCTACATTTGCATCTTTATTCCTGTCCTGCCCCTAGGTTCTTCAGAACCTTTTTTTTTTTGTTTTAGATTCCATAATATGTGTTAGCATATGGTATTTGTTTTTCTCTTTCTGACTTACTTCACTCTGTATGACAGACTCTAGGTCTATCCACCTCACTACAAATAACTCAATTTCATTTCTTTTTATTGCTGAGTAATATTCCATTGCATATATGTGCTACATCTTCTTTATCCATTCATCTGTTGATGGACACTTAGGTTGCTTCCATGTCCTGGCTATTGTAAATAGTGCTGCAGTGAACATTGTGGTACATGACTCTTTTTGAATTACGGTTTTCTCAGGGTGTATGCCCAGGAGAGGGATTGCTGCGGCATATGGTAGTTCTATTTTTAGTTTTTTAATGAACCTCCATACTGTTCTCCATAGTGGCTGTATCAATTTACATTCCCACCAACAGTGCAAGAGGGTTCCCTTTTCTCCACACCCTCTCCAGCATTTATTGTTTGTAGATTTTTTGATGATGGCCATTCTGACTTGTGTGAGGTGAAACCTCAGTGTAGTTCTGATTTGCATTTCTCTAATGATTAGTGATGTTGGGCATCCTTTCATGTGTTTGTTGGCAATCTGTATATCTTCTTTGGAGAAATGTCTATTTAGGTCTTCTGCTCATTTTTGGATTGGGTTGTTTGTTTGTTTGATATTGAGCTGCATGAGCTGCTTGTATATTTTGGAGATTAATCCTTTGTCCGTTGATTCATTTGAAAATATTTTCTCCCATTCGGAGGGTTGTCTTTTCACCTTGTTTATGGTTTCCTTTGCTGTGCAAAAGCTTTTAAGTTTCATTAGGTCCCATTTGTTTATTTTTGCTTTTATTTCCATTTCTCTAGGAGGTGGGTCAAAATGGATCTTGCTGTGATTTATGTCATAGAATGTTCTGCCTATGTTTTCCTCTAAGAGTTTTATAGTGTCTGGCCTTACATTTAGGTCTTTAATCCAATTTGAGTTTATTTTTGTGCATGGTGTTAGGGAGTGTTCTAATTTCATGCTTTTACATTTAGCTGTCCAGTTTTCCCAGCACCACTTATTGAAGAGGCTGTCTTTTCTCCATTGCATATTCTTGCCTCCTTTATCAAAAATAAGGTGACCATATGTGCGTGGGTTTACCTCTTGGTTTTCTATCCTATTCCATTGATCTATCTTTCTGTTTTTGTGCCAGTACCACACTGTCTTGATTACTGTAGCTTTGTAGTATAGTCTGAAGTCAGGGAGCCTGATTCCTCCAGCTCCGTTTTTCTTTCACAAGATTGCTTTGGCTCTTCGGGGTCTTTTGTGTTTCCATACAAATTGTGAAATTTTCTGTTCAAGTTCTATGAAAAAATGCCATTGGCAGTTTGATAGGGATTGTATTGAATCTGTAGATTGCTTTGGGTAGTATGGTCATTTTCACAATGTTGATTCTTCCAATCCAAGAACATGGTATATCTCTCCATCTGTTTGTATCATTTTTAATTTCTTTCATCAGTGTCTTATAGTTTTCTGCATACAGGTCTTTTGCCTCCTTAGGTAGGTTTATTCCTAGGTATTTTATTCTTTTTGTTGCAATGCTAAATGGGGGTGTTTCCTTAATTTCTCTTTCTGATTTTTCATCATTAGTGTATAGGAATGCAAGAGATTTCTGTGCATTAATTTTGTATCCTGCTACTTTACCAAATTCATTGATTAGCTCTAGTAGTTTTCTGGTAGCATCTTTAGGATTCTCTATGTATAGTGTCATGTCACCTGCAAACAGTGACAGTTTTACTTCCTCTTTTCCAATTTGGATGCCTTTTATTCTTTTTCTTTTCTGATTGCTGTGGCTAAAACTTCCAAAACTATGTTGAATAATAGCAGTGAGAGTGGGCAACCTTTTCTTGCTCCTGATCTTAGGGAAATGGTTTCAGTTTTTCACCATTGAGAATGATGCTGGCTGTGGGTTTGTCATATATGGCCTCTATTATGTTGAGGTAAGCTCCCTCTATGCCTACTTTCTGGAGGGTTTTTATCATAAATGTGTGTTGAATTTTGTCAAAAGATTTTTGGCATCTATTGAGAAGATCATATGGTTTTTATTCTTCAGTTTTTTAATATGGTGTATCACATTGCTTGATTTGCATATATTGAAGAATCCTTGCATTCCTGGGATAAATCCCACTTAATCATGGTGTATGATCCTTTTAATGTGTTGTTGGATTCTGTTTGCTAGTATTTTGTTGAGGATTTTTGCATCTATGTTCATCAGTGATATTGGCCTCTAGTATTCTTTTTTTGTGATATCTTTCTCTGGTTTTGGTATCAGGGGAGAGTGGTCTCGTAGAATGAGTTTGGGAGTGTTCCTCCCTCTGCTATATTTTGGAAGAGTTTGAGAAGGATAGGTGTTAGCTCTTCTCTAAATGTTTGATAGAATTCGCCTGTGAAGCCATCTGGTCCTGGGCTTTTGTTTGTTGGAAGATTTTTAATCACAGTTTCAATTTCAGTGCTTGTGGTTGGTCTGTTTATATTTTCTATTTCTCCCTATTTCAGTCTCAGAAGGTTGTGCTTTTCTAAGATTTTACCCATTTCTTCCAGGTTGTCCATTTTATTGGCGTATAGTTGCTTGTAGTAATCCCTCACGATTCTTTGCATTTCATCAGGGTCAGTTGTTACTTCTCCTTTCTCATTTCTAATTCTGTGGATTTGAGCTTTCTCCCTTGTTTTCTTGATGAGTCCGGCTAATGGTGTATCAATTTTGTTTATCTTCTCAAAGAACCAGCTTTTAGTTTTGTTGATCTTTGCTATTGTTTTCTTTGTTTCTATTTCATTTATTTCTGCTCTGATCTTTATGATTTCTTTCCTTCTGTTAACTTTTGGTTTTTTTTGTTCTTCTTTCTCTAGTTCCTTAGGTGTAAGGTTAGTTTGTTTATTTGAGATTTTTCTTATTTCTTGAGGTAGGATTGTATTGCTATCAACTTCCCTCTTAGAACTGCTTTTGCTGCATCCCATAGATTTTGGGTTATCCTGTTTCCATTGTCATTTGTTTCTATGTATTTTTTATTTCCTCTTTGATTTCTTCAGTGATCCCTTGGTTATTTAGTAACATGTTGTTTAGCCTCCATGTCTTTGTATTTTTTACAGAATTTTTCCCTGTACTTGATATCTAGTATTACAGCATTGTGGTCAGAAAAGGTATTTGATATGATTTCAATTTTCTTAAATTTACCAATGCTTGATTTGTGACCCAGGATATGACCTATCCTGGAGAATGTTCCATGAGCACTTGAGAAGAAAGTGTATTCTGTTGTTTTTGGATGGAATGTCCTATCACTATCAATTAAATCCATCTTTTTTAATGGGTCATTTAAAGCTGTGTTTCCTTATTTATTTTCATTTTGGATGATCTGTCCATTGGTGAAAGTGGGGTGTTAAAGTCCTCTATTATTATTGTGTTACTGTCAATTTTCCCTGTCATGGTTGTTAGCATATGCCTTATGTACTGAGGTGCTCCTATGTTAGGCGCATAAATATTTACAATTGCTATATCTTCTTCTTGGATTGATCCCTTGATCATTATGTAGTGTCCTTCTTTGTCTCTTGTAATAGCCTTTATTTTAAAGTCTATTTTGTCTGATGTGAGAATTGCTACTCCAGGTTTCTTTTGATTTCCACTTGCATGGAATGTCTTTTTCCATCCCCTCACTTTTATTCTGTATGTGTCCCTAGGTCTGAATTGGGTCTCTTGTAGACAGCATATATATGGGCCTTGTTTTTGTATCCATTCAGCCAGTCTATGTCTTTTGGTTGGAGCATTTAATCCATTCACCTTTAAGGTAATTATCAATATGTATGTTCCTATT